GACATCACAAGTGTGCGTGAGAGAATGTAACTTCGTCGAGTATGAACGTGCCTCAGTCGAGATAAGCCAGGTTATGCCGCAGTAATTAACAACGCCAAACCCGAATGGCTCTAAACCAAAAGGTGACATGTCCCTCGGTGTCGGCAGGACCGGGCAGAGGGAGAGATAAATCGTGATGCCTCGTCAGCCACGACGGTTTCACAGTCACGCCTCACCCCAAGTGGACTGCAGGTGTCCCGTTTTTCCGAGAGCTGGAGTGTGAACAGCCTCGTGACTGCGTCGTGTGTGTGTGACCGCACGGCAAGTGTGGCAGGACGTGTATAAAGGGTTAAGGAGTGTGTCCACAGGAGTGTGTAGGTGTGACGTGTGCCCACGAGAGCATGAGGCTGAGCATGGGTGCCCACGAGTGGATGTGAAAGTCGCAAATACACTGTCTGTGCAGGAAGGGTACCATGTGATCGGAGCACGTGCCCCGCGCTCAGTGACATAATCGCAGCTGAAGTGTGTGGGGCACTTCGACTCCACGTGCGTTCTCGCCTTTAGATGAGAGGACCCTCGATGCTGTCGCCTTCATTTATAGAGGAAACAGGTTCAGAGTGGTTAAGTCACTTGCCTGAGGCCACAGAGCCAGGAAGGTGGAAGCTGGAGTTGAGCTGAGATCATGTCATTCCAGAACCTGTACCCTATAATAGGGATGTCCGTGACTGCCATGAACTTCTCTTCAGAAAAGTGTCTCTCACACGTCCACCAAGGGCTGGCCGGCTCGGGCCCTTTTTTCCCACTAAGAGCTGGATCCCTTTTGCCTGGTTCCCAGGAGGTGCCTTGTCCATGGGGCTGCAGGCAGGAACGTGCCCGTGTCCCTGCTGGGCAGGGCTCCCTGCCTCCCTCTGCCCCGGCCTGTCTGCACTCACAGGCCTCGTCTGAGCCTGGGGAGGCAGGACTGAGGCAGGCTGGGTGCTGGGTGCCTGGTGCCTCCAGCCCCTTCCCCTCAGCAGGGCCGTGGCCTCGGCTCACCTAACCACCCTCGTGTCCACTCCCGAAGCTCCCCAGCCAGGGGAGTAGCCTCACTAGCTCACCCACGCCAGCGGTGCCCAGCAGGGCCACCCAAAACGGATGCCTGAACCCACCCCAGAGACACCACTGTCACAGTCTGGGGTGCGGCCTGGGCATCGGGACTTCCTAAAGCTCCTCAGGTGGATCCGGCTGCTGCTGTCACCTAGGCCATAGCCCCACCCCAAAGCCTCGGACCTGCCAGCCCGTCCCTGGCTGAAGGGGACCGAGTCCTCCTTGGGCCCATGGCCCTTTGCTAGGTCTCCTCCGGTTTCCACGAGCTTCTGGGCCTTCGCGGCTCATGGGCTCCTAACCGATGTCCTATCTAGAAAGCTGCTTGGCCTGGCTTTGCAGGGGTGGGGATGGGGGGCGCATGCCCACCTCTGCACCTCGGAGCCCCGGCAAATTACTGTGACCGAGTGGGTCCCCATCCCCAGGGTGCGGGCTTCCCAGGGAACAGAGCAGGGAGGGGAAGAGATGACCAGACACGGCAGCCCACTGAGCAGAGGGAGGTCACGGATTGGGAGGAGGGGCCCGTGAGCCAAAAGAATAAATAAAACCCAGAGTCCTAGCCACTCAGGCACAGGAGAGTAGGGGTCCCGCAGCACCCCATCTGCTGTGAGGAAGAGCCTTCTCTTCCTGCGTCCTGGACATCTATGTTGCCCTGGGCCTGTCCCTCACCTTGGGGCAAAGGGCCATGTTTCAAAGGCAGGGTGGGAGGGGACGGAGGTCACGAGCGAGTGGTCCTGTCTGTCCCCAGAACGACGAGGAGGCGATGGTGGAGGCCGTGGCCCTGTACAACCCCGTGAGCTTCGCCTTCGAGGTGACCGAAGACTTCATGCTGTACAGAAAAGGCATCTACTCCAGGTGAGAGGCCGGCACCCCCTCTGCACCCAGCTCGTGCGTGGCATCTCGCCCCCCACCCCGTTCGGCCTCCTGCAGAGCGGAGGGTCAGGACCAGTCTCTGATAGAGAGGAGAGAGGGCAGACCCAGGCCACAGGGCTGGTCAAGGCCAGAATCTGAGCCCAGGACTGTCCTCCAGTTAAGAAAAGCCAGGTTGGAAAGCTGGAGGCGGTGCAACGGGGGGAGAGAGCAGCCGCTCTCGGGGGGAGCCACGCCGCAGGCCCCCCGCTCGGCGCCCGCCTGCTCCCCATTCTCTAGCTGCTCCCAGCTGTAGGCTGGGAACTTGCTGCCAGGCCCCAGGGCCTCCCTGCCGTCTCCCGTGGGGTGGCCTGTGGAAACCTCAGGTCCTAGTGTCCTCTCCCCGTCTTCCAACGCTGCCCGGCCTGTCCACTGCCCGGCCCACCACTGCCTCTCCTGCGGCCTCGCCCTCCCTGGCCCGCCCTCGTGCACCCCCGACCCGCTGGCCCACCCTCTGCGCGGGGCCAGTCAGCCTTCTGCAACACTGCTGCCATCTAAACCCTCCGGCGTCTCCCGTGTCCAGCCTCCCGGCTGTGGGGGGCCCTCATGGTCTGGCCCCTTCCTCCCAAGCTCATCTTTCGTCAAAATCACCCCATCTTCGCAGTGCCCCCATGCCCGCCCCGGCTGCGCCGAAGGGTCTGTGGCTCCATGCACGTCCGCCCCGTCCCTGCTGGGTCAGAGCCCCTCCTCGGGGCTCCCGTCAGCCTCCCACCGTCCCTGCCCTCTGTCCGCCGTGAACAAAGAGCCAAACTCAGGGCCCCAAGGGCAGGAGCAGAGCTCTGGGTGCCGCTCGGGTCCCGCCTCGTCCCCGCCTGGTGTCCCAGGAGCTCGGCCGCACGGCAGCTGAATCGACACAGCCCTGCAGTCTGTCCTCCGGCACCTCGCAGTGTCTTCACGGACACTAGTTCACTGCTGTCAATGGGAAACCTGTGTATCTGCCTTCGAAGCAGGTACAGACAGACACAGGCCGCGGCGGCTGTCACTCGACCAGCTGCAGAAGCTGCCGGAGGCTCCGTCCTCCCCGGCGCGGCGGCCTCTTCCGTGCGTGAGCAGGACGCACGGTGCTTGTGCACGGCGACGGAAGGACGCTGACCCACCAGCTGAATGCCGGCCGCAGGCGAACGCCGCTCTGACGCGCCGAGACGCGCCATGCCGCCGAGGTCTCGCTTTTATCCCTCCCACGTCGTCCAACCTTTTTATTTTTGCTTCCCAGTACTTCCTGTCACAAGACTCCGGACAAAGTAAACCACGCGGTGCTGGCTGTGGGCTACGGAGAAGAAAACGGGAAACCCTACTGGATTGTGAAGAACTCTTGGGGCCCCCAGTGGGGAATGAACGGGTAAGTGCTCCCAGGTCCCTGAGCTGGGGGTGGGGCGGTGGGGGCAGGATTGCTCAGGTCGGGGATGGGGGTGCTGGATGGGGTCTTCACCTCCAACATTTAGCTTGTGAGCCGGGCCCCAGCCCAGGCCCAGGGCAGGGGAGCACACCCCCAAGACCCTTCCAGCAGCCCCTCCCCCGTCCCAGGCCCTGGATCTCAAGGGCCCCGTTGGAAGGAGCTGGTCTGGCTCCCCAGGGCCTGCTGCCACCACTCAGGAAACAGCTCCCAGCACGGCCCTGCTGGGACCCAGCCAGCATCTGTAACGGTCCGTTCGTGGGACATTGAGGCAGCAAATCTGTCCTTGGTGGTTGACAGCCCTCCTTCTAGGAAAAAGGCTGGAACCACACGGCCTGGGCACGTGCTGCGAGGTGACTGTGTGTCTGCTCTCAGACTCTGTCCTCATCCGCAAAGGGGAGCTTGAGCTGTTCCCTCGGGGGACCCCGTGGTGATCAACTACGTGAGGGCCAGGCAGACATGGGTAGCATAAGGAAGAGTTCGTGTGGCCAAGGACAGGGAAAG